CATTATACAGTTTATGCGACCAACCGCACTTCAGCTGACGACATGGAGTCTGATAACACCCCAAAACGTCCTGCCTCCAGCACAACACACACTCCAACTCAAACTCCACATAAATATAAAAATCAAAAAAAAGTTTTATCTGCAGAATATCGTCAGGCAAACGGCGAATCTGGTCGACTCCAGACAAAAACGCGCACCAGCGTCGGCAACATTGTACAATTCGTAAACTTTAGTGAAATAGCAAGGTAAACTACATGAAACATGACATGAATACAAAAGCATGTTCCAGGATAACAAAAAGTAGGTGCTTTAGGATGTAACTTATTTTATTTACTAGATCTAACGTTACTGACTAACGTCACTCATCCCACTACTATCATATTGTTTATAACTTGCACATTTCCAGACACGTTCATTACAGGAATGTTACTTCCTACGATCTTACTGTTACACTGAAATTGTTCAGTTTAGTTCACTAACCGTTTTCGTTATCATATTATACATTCACCTATGTTGACATTGCTGATTGTGAAAGATACATGAATAGTTAGTGAAATGGCTTATGCTATATAACCTCATGTCGGCTAAATGCAGTTTATTGTAACATTATCATGGTGCGAACACAGCTAGAGCATTAGTTCAACGTCAAGCTGATAAAAGTAGGCTATTATTGTAACTGCAGTGGGAGTTTACATTAGTTTCCAGCATGTTGTGTGGTGCTTTCGCCGTTGCCTTGAAAGTATCCGCGTAGCTAGTAGTGAATGCTCGCTCTTGAGATCGAGCACGCACACGAGCACGAGCGCTCTTGATGCATTCTGAAACATCACCGCTAGAGGCCGCTAAAAACGCATACAGCACCTTTAATTGTTACTGTACAGTAGAATCAGAATTTTTACATAAATAAACGTAAAACCAACATGAATATATATCTAACATTAAAATCAGATTGCATATTCAATATTAGGTAAGAGCTTTGTATTGTTATTGATGAGCTGAGCTCAGTACACTCCTGTTTTTTTGATTTTGATTATTAAATGATCAGATGGATTCTGTTTAGCTCACATTTGTCAGGATTTGGGGTGTTATAAACAGCAGGAATGTGTGATAACCCAGAATCCAGAATACATTTATATAACCGGTTATGTAAATGTATTCTGGATTCTGTTTGGCTGTTAATGTTTTTATCGTTCATCAGCTGGAAAAAAAAATGTTCTGAAAGTGATTACCGTTCCTTTGAGTTTTTATAGCTGCGGTGTGGACTTCACTATCCTTTTACATTTAGAAAAGATTTTTCAAACTATCGTTATCGTTCTCAGAGTGAACCGGCCTTAAACGTGCATGCTCTCCTGTGTCTCTGCAGAAGTACCGTTACCATGACGAGGAGACTCCGCCCCTGCAGCACAGCCCCGCCCACCTGACCACAGAGAAGTCTGCAGAGATGCTCCACCTTAGTGACGCTGGCCACGCCCACATCGACGGTATCCACGGTTACACACCCCAGATGCACATGTCCCCTGCCAAGGTAAGAGTCCTGCTCATGAAGGGAGTGTGTTAGCGTCGCCTATCTTACAGTCGGTGGTTGAGCTCTGGTGTGATTGATCCTCGAGGCCCTGATGAAATCGGTTTTATTCTTTCAGAAATTCTGTGTTTAAAGGCTAAATTGATTGTTAATAATAAAAAAAGTGTCTAATCAATGGAATTCACAAAACTTTAACAACTGAAATTCAAGCCTGTTAGCTGCTGTCAGGACACTGGACAGATCCAGTGAATCTGAGGCTGGTCAACTAACTTAGTTAATCCATAGTTGAGTGAATATGACCTCTCTCTCTCTCTCTCTCTCTCTCTTGTGTGTGTTGTCTCTCCAGTCTAATACTCTGAATGATGTCTCACATTTCAGTCCAGTGTCGCGTCAGTCTCAGTTGTGTAACTACCTGTCCTCTCCTGTAACTAGTCCTGCTGTTGTGTGTGTTGCAGCCAGTGTTGCTCCCGAGTGGCCACGCGCCGTACTACGCCACCTCCACACTGGTAAGCCCATACTCTTACATCCTCTTACCACACTCTTACATTCACTTACTTACTCTTACCATACTCTTAAATACTTTTACATACACGTACACACTCTTACTCTATGTTATGGCGCCGTTTTATACATAAACAATATTTATATTTAATATTTATATATAAACAATATGAATGTAAGCCAGAGGAGAACTGGCCCCCGACTGAGCCTGGGTTCTCCCAAGGTTTTTTCTCCATCCAATCTAATGGAGTTTTGGTTCCTTGCCACTGTCGCCTTGCTTTGGGCTTGCTCAGTTGGGGTTATTTAGTGTTTAGCAATATTATTGATCTGTGTTGTACTACTTTCATGTTATCACTCTGAAGCTGCTTTGATACAATCTGTATTGTGAAAAGCGCTATATAAATAAATAT